ATAGAGGATTGAGTTCCCATCCGTGGAACAGGCTTTAACCAATTCTTGGCTCCTCTTGCTCCCAATTTGGGTGATTACCTTGGTGTCTGCGAAGTTGAACTCAAGGCTCATATCATAGGTTTGAGCAGCGATTTTCGATAATTTGTCGCCTCATCGCACAGCCAGCTTATGCTCATCCTATGCGCGATCCGAGTTCACGTTTAGTTTTACTTGTCTATTTTCACGGACAGCTCAGACGTAGGGTGCGATGCACTACCTCGGCCTGCTCTTTGCAATGCGATGGAAATTTGGGCACTCTCAGCTCCAGTACAAGACAGACACAGGAAGTTTCTACCAATGCAATTCCAGGCACTGGTGGCGCTTGAATTCGTCGGTGAACGCCCATCCGCCAATATTAATATTCCCGATTGGAGCCGGCAAGAGAAGACGCCTGTGGCTCAGTGGTTAAGAAAGTTTGACTTCTGATCAAAAATGTGTGTACTAGCTTTGGTAAGTGCAACACCTGCGGTTGGGTATGATTGGAACATTAGACCCTTTGCTCTTTGTCGGCAATGGTCTTCGGTAGGACCCAGTTTCTACAACTCCGATACATTTAGTTTTTTTAAAGAAAAAAAATTGTTCATTCTAGCTGCCGCGCTGCAGTATGGCGCGTTCCTTATCCTTTAAAGGCCTTGGGAGTAAAGCTAACAATAGCTAACAGGAGCAAAAGTCTTACCTCCAGAGCCGGTGAACAGTTACGGGATGGCACTGGGGTGGACGGAACAGTCGTTGTCGTCATCACCGATTGGCTGTGTTCTGCAAATTCCAAAACGTGCTACGTGCGGGGATTGAAAGAATGAAGATACCATTACTAGTGATCTGCTCAACGGTCTCAAAGTAATCCAAGTCATAATATAAACGAATAAGACAACTGAAATATTGTCATTGGCACTAGTACTAACACAGTCATGAATAATTGGAGAAAACTCGGTGAGACAATCCACTGCTATCAGAAATGCTGCAAACATGAAGTGGAAAAGGTGCCACAAAGCAAACGTTAAAGGTTCAATCAAATGCGGAAAAGCTACTCACCTAACAGTTGGCGGATTATAAAAATAAGAAGACTACTGCTTACTAATGTCTCGTCGTATTCCTCGATTTTCGGACGAATGCAAATGAGGACCAAGACCTGGCCACTTCCCTCGAAGTAGCTTTTGAAAAGATGGGTCAACTTGGTGTCCCTATAGGGCACTTTGCGGGGCAGAGTCTGTGAAACACCGAGGCCTAGACCGTCTTCTCTTGGCGAGGCCATCTGGTTGGTTCGTAGGACATCAATGCATCGGCGTAGGTTCATGAGTGAATTGTTGATTTGAGCTAGGAGTTAAAGGAAAAACAGCGCTGACTCGTTTAGTAAGCGGAAACTAAACTAGCAGAAATTCTGATCAACCACAAAAGTATCAATGAATCCAACAGAGGGGACGGATATGCATCTTCGATAGGGTGGGTACATGGGGAGTTATTAAGAGATGCGGTGCAGGACCGATAGGCGTGGCGGTCAAGTCAGAGTAATAAACATATGAAGTTGAAAAGAGAGAAGTCAATAAACTTATACGGCCCCTGAAATCGCCTGTTGTGCTAGGTGTGAATCAGACACATACTTTCTTCAAAGATCCTCAGCACGAACCACTCTACAGTGGATTAATCATATTACAACACGATCTTATTAATACGCACGTCTACGTACCAAAAATGGTACCCATTGAGTAAAATTTAAGTTTTTGGTCTGTTTTGAGGCAAGTAACTGCAATGAGATTTGAAAAAATTAAAGCACTGAATAAAAAAATGAAAGTTCACCACAAAATAGGCGCAAGTGGCATATAAATCTTCGGAGATCAAGTCTCGGAAGACAGACATCGTCAAAATTCATTCGATGCGTCAATGATCTTGAGACTAATAAGAAAAAAAGCTCGAAAGATTTAACTCAGATAATAACCAATTTTTGATATTTAAGAACAAGGGATAGAAGCACAAGTCACAAAAGCGAGAAATGCATGCTTACAAGCCTCTTTAAGACGGTGTCCAGTTGTCCCACTT